AGAGAGAGGGGACGACATGCAGCTAAGGACCGCAGGTCGGACTTGAACCTGGGCCGCTGTGTATATGGGTTGCCAGCTCTACCGACTGAGCTAACCGGGCCCCCATAAATATATTTTTGAAGATATTTTTTCAAAGTTTTAAATTTATTCCGCCTGTGAAAACAAGTTTTAAAAATGTGATGAATGAAATGTGAAGATGATTTTTGTTTTAAAACCTGTTTCCACTGTTAACAGAGGGGGTACGGGGGCCTTATAATAATAATTATATTAATAGCATTAGCTTTAAAAAAGAGAGTTTACAAAGTTCTTTAACAGCAGTGATACAGTAAATGTAATTAAATCAATTATATTTTATTCCTTTCAGGAACCTAAATATGCAGGAAAATATACATTTATAGAGGAAAAAAGTGGAACCACAGATGACAATATTGTAGAGCTAAATGTCTAAAATGAGTCTTTCTGTATATTGAACCCTGGTTGTGACAGTTTCAGTTTCAGGAGTCACACTTCCTGAATTCAGGCTGAGTGTATTTTTAATGTCGCACTAAATACTTTATAATAAAAAAAAGACAGAAATCTCAGTTTCTACATGATCTTTAATGTCAGCCAGTGACAATAATACGTTTAAAATGTAAAATTATTATTATTTTCAGGTTGAGTTGGTTGGAAAAGACAAAAGAAACATTGATTTCATAAAATGTATTTACATTGTGAGCAAACAAGCAGTGGATGGACAGTTAAAGCAGATAATATGGTGCAGCTGTGACCAGTAGATGGTAGCCAAGTTTCAGCCACAGCAGACAGAAACATGAAGGTTTATCCTGCAGACAGGAGCTCAGAAAGCACAGCTCTATGTGTGAGATTATACAAAATCATACCACACAATAGATATCACTTTAATACACATATTATACTTATAGAAAAGGTTTTAACACATGTAGATTTCACAGTTGGCGGAGTTAAGGCAGAGTAGCTGGAGGACGTCAGAGGGAAAATCAGACAATAGTCTCTCGATAAAATATGATCCAGTTTCACCCAAATCACTGATAAAGTTGTGTGATTGTACAGTAATCAGCGAGCTAACTAATGAATCTTCGCTCTGTGTTGCTAAAAGTTGAAGATTGATTGACGGGTGAATGTCATTATGGGATTTTGATATAAAGAAATAGAATTTTTTGTACATTTGTGGGGGCATAAATAGTTAAATATGGGAACAATATAACTGAGGATTTGATCTTAAAGGGTTAATTCCACCTGGACTTTAAATGATGGTTTATTTCTGCCACTACAGTTATTAATACAAATAATAAAGTTACTAACATAATATTAACAGCTTAAAATACAAAAACATCAGATCTACTCTGATTATTATTCTGAGATTAAATGATAAAAAACACTTAATATAATTCCTAGAAGCGGTATCGGTGTTGGAGGGGACAGTAGTTTACCTCTCAGTCATAACCAGTTTGGTTTCGTGTCAGTTTCTTGACTTTTCTGCCAACAAAAAGAAACCCGTCTCCGTTCACCCCCCCTCGAGGTTTTCATTTTGACTGACAGCTGACATTTTCCACAGCTCGTCCAAATGCTTTCGCGCTCGAAGCTTTGAACATGTATAAAAGCTCTGGGATCAGCTGGATGAGCCGGGCTCTCCTGAAATGACTCCCAGGATGTGAGTTTGCAGCAGTTTTAATTCCTGTTGTGTGTTTCAGATCTGAAGCCTGCGAGGCCCCGAAGACAGTGGTGTTTTTACGTGATTGTTATCTACCTCATCCTGCAGACCGCCCTCAACGCCTTCCTCGTTTATAAAGGTTACACCTGCTTTTATTTGTAAATGTGGACTCGAGAAACTGGTGTCGTCGTGTGCTGTAAACGGTTAATTCTTCCTCTTTGTTCCAGTCTTCACGTTGGAGTCTTCGCTGTACAAACCCCGGTTGGAGAAGCAGACGTCCAATCACATTCCGGATGGGGATCAGGGCGATGCAAGCCTCCAAACTCTCGTCCACAACAACACCCAAGAAGCCAAGACCCTGAGGGGCGACCTGTGGGCCCTGCAGAGCCAGGTCCTCCCTCCGTTCATATGAAACGTTGTTGTTTGCTGCAATGCTAGCTTGTACTAACATCCTCCTTCCACAAAACTTAACAGGAGAATGTCTTTAATTTGTCCAAACTTTGGTTTATAATCCGCAGAAACACTACCAGCCTCAGCTGCACGTGGTTTAATAATAATTAGCTGATGTTAGCATTTAGCTCAACACACAACTGTGCCTACTTCCATATTCTTAGTTAGTCACTCTAAAAAGAACGGAAATTAAAAAGTGACACATTTATTTGTCAAAATGTAAATGTAAATTCCCCACAATCTTTCGAAGAAACCACTTCTTGTTTTGGGCTGATAGACTCGGTTGAAACGGTTAACCACAGCACAAGAAGTAATAATAAAACTATCTTATATTAGCCAAAATAAACCTCTAAGGCTGCAGCAGTAAAACATTTCCAATCAACGATTATGTAGTCTTGATTAAAATCAAATTTTCAGTTTATTTAATGAAGTCGTGATTCAATGTCGGTTGCCGTGACAACAGGTCAAGAGCCTTTGTGGAGAGGAGGGTCAGCTGGACCAGCTGAGGTCTGACCTGAGCCTGCTCAACACCAGCACCGTCAACCTGGAGGGCAAACTGTCGACCGTCAGCCTCAAACCAGGTAGGATAAACACCTGTGTGCTTATTTCATCTTTATTTAACCAGATAATCATTTACAATGACGACCTGATCTCTGAAGTGCACATCTGATATGACTACACACCCACAATACGGGGACATTTGGAATTAGCAGGACAGAGGACAGTTTAACGACAGGTAATAAAGTACTGAGGTGGTTTTATTGCCGGCTTTGGCTCCTGGCATCCCGGGGCTAACATTAGCTTCAAGAGCTAACAGCATCCGACATCCAACTATAGCTTCTCTTAGCAACGAGTTCATCTGGAAACTCCATAAATCACCTCGGTACCGCTGTCGTCAAACTGTCCGTCTCAGACGGTGTTCACTGGGAGACTGTCAGTTAGTTCATGCTGACGTAAGCACGCACTTTAAGGTTACATGTTATCGGAGCCGTATCAGACCTGTCTCCCTGGTAACAGTGTTTCTAGAGGAGCTCAAATCCCAAATGTCTATAAAAGTGTATCTAGTTCACATTTAGACCCTGATCCTGTGTGAGTTTTATCAACACTGGGGATTGTTTTGTCCTCAGGACTTCCTGGTCCTCCGGGTAGAGATGGACGTCCAGGAGAAAAAGGTGAGTCAACTTTAAGCAATTAAAAGATAAAGTTTGAAGCTGAAGTCAGAATAAAATGTGTGGTCGTGTTTAGCAACCAAAGTAGACGTTTCTCTCAAAATCATCTGAACTATTATATGAACGACAAAACAACCAGAATAAAAGTTCACTATAAAAAAAACAAAAAGTTTAAATTGTAAACTGTTATTTTACATGTCTAATGTTAAATAACGTATAAAGAAAATTTAAACTGTTAAATTTAAGTTTAATACTGTTAATACATTTTAAAATTATGTCAAATTAGTGACAATTACATGGATTTGTTTGTTAATTAACATATCTTCTGTAATTCTGGACGTTTTTACAACAGAAATATCAAATAAATGTTGTTTATTTGTGTATAAGCATTGGTAAACTGTCAAAATACATTTTTTTTCAGTGAAAACAGCAATAATTACTGTAATTTTATAGATAATGACTTTTATTACAGTCGTATAACTTTTAAAATTCTGATTAAAATAAGAAAAATCAAATATTAACAGCACTCTGCTGTAAATGTAAGCCTGGTTATTTGTATTATAGCAGAGTTTATTTATTTATAGCTCATTTAATTGGTTTTACAGTGTAAATATCTTAAATTCAACATTAAAAAGCCCCAAAAACACACAAGAATTTATGTAAAAGTAAAGCTAAAAACTGTATTTTAAAAATAGAAAAATTACTGTATATTTTTACAGTATTTCTGGCACCCAGCTGCAGTGAATTATCTTGTCATACACTTTTTTTTTTTTTACAGTGTGAAGTTAATTTCGTTACGACTGATTTAGTGGTATGTGTGCGGCGGGAGGCATTAGCTTTCAGCTGCAGGTCCGCCGATGATCCTGGCGTTGATGACCTGTCATCTGTTGTCAGACGGCTGATGAAAACCGGCTGACGGATGGGCTGCGGCCATTATCTCACACACCCTCGCAACTTAGTCAGCGCACTGACATTTCCTGTATGAAGTCTCTATCGGGGTGAAATACTCAAGTCTGAGGCAGATGTTTTCCAATAGGTCAATAAACTCAATATACTATGATATTTTGACCACCTGTACTCCAACAAAAATAAATGAGTGAATACAAAAACTGAATAAATAAAATACAACGTAAATAATGTGAAAATTGTACAGATTTTCTTAAATCCTGGCTACGACCTGAGCCACATACAAACATATTTACTAAGTTTCTCTATTTACAGGATGATATTTGGTTACAACTACATCATCGTGTGTTATTAATTTATTAAACGATTATACAGAAATAATATGACTGTCGCTCTTCACCAGACTCCATAGCCAAAAACGCAAATTTTACCTGGCAGATACATCAGCTTATAGGTGTCCACAGGAGGAAGTAAGGTTGTTAAAAAGATATAATAAACACTTTTATGGGGTTACAACTACATTATAGTGTGTTATTAATCATTTATTACAGCATTTTTTAAGATTTTGGTGATTTCACACCAAAAAATGGGTTTATAGCATCTTATTCTTCTTTTTTATGTCATGTCAGAATAATGTTAACAATTTCTTCTAAATTAAAAATGTATTTAAAGTGTCTGACAATATTATTATTATTATTATTATTATTATTATTAATATTAAGGATCCCTACAGAAACAGCCGCTCCCCACCAGACTCCATAGACAGAAACACAGATTTTACCTTACATATACAGCAGCCACAAAACAAAACATAACTTAAAAAAGAAAAATACTATAAGCTGCCATAAAATATTTAAGTATTTAAATATTCAAAGCGATATTTCTCAAATTCCCTCTCTCTGCCCCCCTTTCCTGTCTGTCTCCAGCTGTCCTATCAAATAAAGGTGAAAGCTGAAAAAAATACTTTTAAAAAAGAGAAAGCTTTTAATTGTTATGTTATAAAGTTATAACTTTTAATATAAACTAACGCTCTTTAATAACTATATGGCTGCCTGTTATGGGGACTGAAGTGTTGCTGTGCAGGTTGCTACAAAATATGATGAGTGTACTTCCTGAGGAAGTGACTGTTCTGGCCTTCCCTCCATCAGGTCAGAACAGGGTAAACTTTCAGTTCACGATTTGAGAACTTCCGTTTACACATGTAAAGAGTGTTGTAAGAGCTAAAATTTTACTTTTACTTAAGTTGTTAGGTACAAATTTGAGGTACTTGAGTATATTTTTCTACTCCACTACATCTCAGAGGCTAGTACTGTACTTCTTATACCTCTACATTTGTCTGACAGTTGAAGTAACTTTTCAAGATTACAGTTTTTCTTTCCCTTCCTGTCCAGCGAGTTTGACCCCTGAAGCTTTAACATCTACAGTAAAATGCAACATACACATTATTGCAGCAGTAATGTTAATCCAAAAACACAAGATATAATATTAAAACACCAACATCTCAGGTCAAAAGAAAGGTACAGAAATAATGTTAGTCTTTCCAACAATCACCAACTTTGGTTTGGTAGAAATAAACTCTTATTTTACTGAGTTAGATGTGAAAATATCTGTGAAAAGGGCTGAAATAGCAGCAATGAGAGCTAACGTTAAACCTTGGGGACAAATGCCATTAAAGTCACTCTCCACCAGACTCCATAGACAAAAACACAAATCATCGAAACTTCATCCAAAGTGGACGGAAACAAATTAAATTAATGTTCATAATCTCATGCAGTCTCTTTACTGTGTGGTAGTGTAACTATTGAGCTGTTCATGAATCTCATTGTGCTTCAGAGACTGTTGAGCATCAGTACGTTACTCACCTGTATGCTTCCTTCCAGGTGACGCCGGTGTCGCTGGACCTCCAGGGGAGAAAGGTGATGCTGGACTCAAGGGAGAGCCAGGAAATGCCGGTGAGATTGTAGTTTCATTCTAAATTATTTGTGGAGTAATGTACTTGTTGTTATTCTTTAAGCTGTACGAGACATACTTTCTGTTTCTTTTGCTTGGAGCTTAAATCATAAACAGTCCCATCCACAGTAACTGAGAGGCTGTCGGGCACTTCAGTGCTCACTAGAGCTGACAAACTGAATGAAAAACAAACTGTGACATCCAGACGAAGCATCCATCCGAGAAAAAAACTCTGAAATCTCTGTCTGCTTTAGGCTCAATGTGGCTTTTATTATAACTCACTGTAGCACAAAACTAACTCTCTGCCAGCTCAGACTCAGTATTGTACAGCTCATTAGCATATGCTACCTCACTGGTCACTTTAACCGAATTATCTCAACAGCTAATATATATGGATTGTTATGGGATTTTTATACAAACATTCAAGGTGTCAAAACAGCCGGCACTATTAAATTAGTCAGATAGGTAGTGAGCTTGATGGAAGGAATGATGCACTTCTCCAGTATTTATGAGCTCAGGTAAACGCGAGGTTTCCTGGATGAGTTTCTGGTCTCAGTGTCTAGTTTCAGTTTCAGACAGTGCTGATATGATATGGATCAACACTATAAAATAAATGTAACTCAGAAACATTGAGGCAACATTTTCCATCCGTTTATTTAGTTGTAAAAACTCTAATTTTAGAAAATTAAGTTGAGCCAACATGAAAAAAAGCAACAAAAAAAAATGAGTTAAACAATTTTATTAAACAAACTGAGTTGCATCAAATGCAAGTCATTTTTAATCCATTTTAATAACTTTATGTTTTCTGTGTATTGCTTCCAATTTACATTGAATAATTAGTTAGCATTAACATGATTTGCATTTCAGCAATTAAAATGCAGTTGAACAATAATTTGTTGTTGACATTTAATCATTTAATCAGAAAAAAACATTGTTCTTTTTGTCGTCAATGTCGATTCAGGTTTCAACGGGTTAAATTTAAGACTTTAAGATACTATAAAAACAATCTAAGACCTATTTTACGTCACATATTTCTCCCAAAAACAGCTTTAAAAATGAGACTCAAATAAGCAACTTTATACAACTTCAATAATTAATCCAGTCAATTTATAAGACCTGTTAAAATCATATTCTTTTTAAGATGTTTCACACCCTGTTATTATCATGTTGTTATTAAACTGGACAATATGTTCCTCATACTGTGTGACTCACAGTAACAACAAATTATATTTTCTGAAATTGACACAGGAGCTTCTCTGGTTTCACATCATGTGTTAAACCTCTGGATGGAAACATTAAAAATCTGATTCAGCAGATTGTTGTTATGAAATAGTTCAGTTTCTCTTCCTCCTTTTAACTTCTGGTCATGATCCATAATTCTGTTGACACGCTTTTATTTTCGTGGGATGAATTTATGTGCACCAACAACCACTTTGTCAACATTGTGACAGAACACACTGTGAATGTAAGATGACTGTAATGAAACTGCTGTTTATTATATACAGTAAAATATTATATATGAATATGTAATAAACTAAAGCTCCTCCTGTTTAAATCAGTGAATTGGAGCAGAAATGTTTCACTTAATATAATGCTAACTCTACTTCTTTTAGTCTATTTTAACATAAATTTTCCATTCAAGTTAAGGGAGGGCTAAACTGGATGTTAATAACTGGACAATAATAATATTAGCTATTTGTAAAATCTAAAATATTAACATTTCTTCATTATTTTTGATTTTAAGCCAGGTCTATATTTGCTTTACTTCTGTGAAGAAAAAGTAAATGTAAATTGTGTAATAGTAAATGTCAGGGACAAGAAAACACTGAATTTGTAAAAAAAAAAAAGAAGCTTATTAAGTCTGTATGATTGTTAAAAACTATATAAAAAAAATAGTTAATGCAGACAAATAATGGTATAAAAAGTTCCTTAAACAGGAAATAATCTGCTCACCATGCATCCAAATCTCTGGTTTTACACAAACTTTCTCCAGTTTTGAGTAAAATTTAGCCTCTTTAGCCTCAGTCTGTTAGCACGTTACCCAGTTTTAAGCCACATTTTTACCACCCACCTTCAAGAAATACTGTACGTTTAAGTTGAATTATATTATAATTACTTCCTTACATAATCATCACTCTGTGTGTGAATGCAGGTCCCAGCGGTCCACCTGGGCCTCGAGGAGAACCTGGGAATCAAGGACCAGGTGCGAAGGGAGAGAGAGGAGATCCCGGAGCCCAAGGTAAAGCTATACCCTGTAAAGAAGTAAATTCTCCTGAGCCAGACTTTAATGTTTGACCTGTGAATCCTGTTCCTGTGCTTCGATCGCAGGCCCTCCTGGAGAGAAAGGTGACTCTGGGATCCCCGGCAATACAGGTACCTATACGTGTGACATGCTGCATATGTAAACTTAAACTTGTGTGTGAGATACTAAATAGATTTATGTTGATTTTTTGTGCACAATCAGGACCTCCTGGAATTCCCGGGTCTGCAGGACAAAAAGGAGACCCTGGAAGTTCTGGTCCACCGGGACCTCCAGGTCAGCTGTTTAACATCTGTTGTGTATCCTGATAGATCAATATCATACAATACAGCTGTGTCATAACAAGCTTCCTGCCTCATCAATGCAGCCACACTTTTATATACACTCTTATTACTATTTCATTTTAAAATATTTAACTTAACAGTCGTTAGAGAGCTAGTTAGCTAACTCCTCCTTCCCTGTACTTACATATGCTACATGCTAAGCTAATCTATGTTGAAAAGACAACCACATTTTGAAGATGATTAAAAGATAATATATATATATATAGCTGGCTAGTATTTTGCTAAGGAAACACTAGTTAACTAGCCACTTCTGATGTTAGTAAAATGCAAGCTAGTTATCTATCATTTTGCTTACATTAACTAACTGAAGATATGACTATATATGTCTCAATTTCATCTTTTAATCATCTTCAAAACGTGTCTGTCATTTCAACATACAGTAGATTAGCCTAGCACGTAGCATATCTAAATACAGGAAAAGGAGGAAGTTGAGTTAAAGTTGGCAGTTTATTAACATTCTGCTCCAGTGATTCAGAAACTGTAGATTTAATCCTCTCGTGGTGTCTCGTCATCAGGTGTACCTGGACCTCCTGGTTTCAATGGAACTCAAGGTGAGCTTTCTTACATACGTTACAGAAAACACCCAAAAAACAGGTTCAATTTAAGACTTTTTAAAGACTTTTAAAGGCCATTATAAACGTTTTATTTGTAACAGTAAGATCAGGACACATTGTAGGAAGCTGGATCAATATTAAAATATCAATTAATCCATTAGGTCTCAGTGTGACAGACTCAGTTGATGTAAACTGTCAGTTTGGTGGATGTCGATTCAGTATTGGACTGTTTTTTCCTTCACAGGTCTTCCAGGACCACAGGGACCTAAAGGAGACAGCGCCGACCGAGAGTGTGAGTCTGCAGAGGAACTGATCTGAGAGAAGCTCAAAGGATAAACTTACTTATAAAATCCCACTTTTAGCAACTTTTATACCTTCAACTGAAGTTAAAATGTCTGAAACTGAGGTTTGGTGTTGACCACCAGTTTGGAAATTAAAGAAAGTGTTGTCCTCAAATGTCTGATGAGATCAGAGATGTTGAAATGAAATAAACAGGAAGTAAGAGACCGGCAGCTCTGCATCCTCAACACTAATTTAATCTCTGACTCAGTAAAGTTTTCATTACACAGCACGTTTCCTATTCTAACATTAGCAGGTTCAACCGCAACGCTGACCACTGACTATAAACACATAACTCAGTTTATCAGCCACGTTATTGTCTCCAAATCAATATGTGTGCTGACGGCTCTTTTTATTAATTAATTTAAGATTCCTGGAACACTGAATCCAGTCAGTATTTAACACTGCACTAACCAAATAGCTAATGTTTAACTTTAAAGTGGACATGAAACGTGGTTTTGGCACAGGTAGTGTCAAAACATGTTAGAAAAAACACATTGCCAAAAGTATTATTTAAAAAAGTTGTTAAAACCACAGATATTACGCATTTATTTTTGTCATTTCTAGCTACAAGTGTGGCGGCGCCCTCGCCTCAAAAAACAAAACAAAATTCTAATAGAGACATTTGTCACTTTTGTTATAAAACTTATTGAGGTAGAGGTTAAATCCCATGTTGAGTAAATCGCAGTCTTGAACTGGGTTGCCTGCTTCAATAATCCCTCTTTAAACCGCTCTTTTTGGGTCACCGCGCAGTGAGCGTGCGCGCTTCGTGGGGGGACGCAGGACCCGCGGTGCGAGTGGATTTTGAAGTACAACGGGTCTGGAACCGTGTGTGACGGCAGCTTCGACACCGTGGAACGGAATGAACAAGATAAAAAGGGAAAGAGGGAGAAGAAACACGCAAGAAAACGGTTGGGTGATCTGTAAAGATGCTGGGTCTCCAGAAGTGGCTTTCAGCAAGCGCTACACTGGCCTCCCCGTGGTCAGAGACGTCGCGCCGCCACCGTTCACAGCAGTGGTTCTCTTCAACGGATCTGACGCATAATCCTGGTGGACGATTATCAAGCAGAAAACCCGTGGCAGTTCTTGTATTTCTCTACATGAAGACTCTCACACTACTTCCTCTCTGTTTGATGTGTTTTGACTGTTACCAACGATTGACAGGAGCTAAAGAAAGCAGCCGTGTTGAGTGTCGATGTCTTAAAGGCCTCTTGGGCCATTGTTCTATCTTGTTACGATCGCATTTGTAGTCCTTGATCATAATCTGGACTCTAATGGAAGCCTGTTTCGTGCCAAATGTGAATTAGGAGTATTGTCAGATATGTCATGTATAATGAGAAACTTATTCAAAATATGATTTAGGTATCTCAAAAGAAATGACAGCTTAGTCCATATATTCTTGATATCTAAGTCATTATTTTGCGGATATAAATCATTATTTTGAGATATTAAATCATTAATTGAGCATATGTAAATTCATATATTTGGAGATATCTGAGCGGAATCGCGATGGTATACGATGATAGAAAAAAATCTGATTTTTCCCCCCTCAGTATATTGGCAGAAATGGGCTGCCATAGATTTAGACCTATTTTTTAAGTTTTTCTACATGCCTTAAAATCAAGAAGGCTTGAAGCTTTGGCGACCCCTAGTGGGGGCCCCATAATGACTTACATGATAACAGATCAGTACATAGATTGGTGCACTCGCTGATATTCCAATACTGGTATTGGTATCAAAGAGGTGTTCACTTGAACTTTGGACAGCTGAGATGACGTAACTCTTGAAAAAAAGGAAGCAGATAAGCACATTTCCTAAAACGTTGGTGCTTTCCTTTAATGGGACGGAGACTTTTCGTTAGCACGTTGTTAGCGTTGTACCCGACCTCACTACCACCATCTGACCACACAGTAAACGTTCTCCTTCTGCAGGCACTGGCAAGATCTGGCTGGATGATCTGCGGTGCACGGGAAGAGAGACCGACATCTTCCAATGCCCGCACGCCGGATACGGAATTAACAACTGCCAACACAACGAGGACGTCGGCTTGCAGTGTGTGTAATTGTCTCATTATTAATGTTGATTAATACTCTGTTTGTTATTATCATCATCATAAGAAAAAAACAACAACAATCAACATTAATATCCAGGATGTATAAATATAATTATTATGTGTTATCTCATTAAACAGTTTGAATGCTAAAGAACAGGCTTTATTAAAGTGGACAGCTTTATTGATCATTCCCCAGGAAGCAAACCAATATATCTAAGTGTGAATTAAAGCCAGACAACATCAGATACTGTAGATACGTCTGGTCTTTACCCTGAGAGCGGGTAACGCCACACATATTTGCCCCCCAGCCAGAGGTGAGGACAGTAGCCTGAAAGGAGGGCACCACCCAGACGGGAACAGCGAGGTGGTCGGCGTTCATGAGGAGACGTATATGTCACATATTAAGCAGCATGTAAACATAAAAATGTCAGAATTAATTGAGCAGATTTTTCATATTACAGACATTAAAGCTAATAAATGGCTTATTTTGGGGGATTTGCTTTCATTCATACACTTATTAAAGATGTTTAAGACTTTAAAATTTGTGACGAGATGAAACTGATTTAATAACGCTTTCAAGAGGAAGAAACTCCTTCATAGGTGACACAGAGAGTTTATTCAAACACAGAAAGGAGAGAACAGAGAAAAACATCAGTATTAAAGCACAATACAAGTTACAGCCAGTAAACTGAGCAACAGATAAGTTATCTCCAGTTATTTCGGTACCATGGGAGAAACTCTCGGTTGAAACATCTCGACCTTTAACTGTGGTATGTTGGTGAGGGAACGGTTACATTTCTGCATAACACTGTACAGAGTCATCAGAGTTACAGGAGAACAATGGAGTCAGTAGTTTTCCATCAGACAGCTTTAATGAGCTGACACAGTAAACGCCATGTTGGTGAACATTTGAGATGAAACTGTGACGTCCCATTCCCCTGAAGGCAGCATGGAGCAGCACTACAGGAAGTGAAATAGAGCTATATGTGGGTACGAACACTGGCAGGTTTTAGTATTCAAACCTTATTCTGTCCGTGTGTTGTTGTGAATCTTTGGTGTAAACTCATCTTAAACAGTAACGCCCCCCAGGAGCACCTGAACGCCCCCCAGGAGCACCTGAACGCCCCCTTTTCCTAAACACTGCTTCTAGCCAAACAAACTGATGAATGTGGTTGGATGTGATGAACGTGTGGTGACAGGCTGCACACTGGGGATATAAGCACAGCTGCTAATGATGTTCACAGCTGGATCTCATTACATATTCATAAAGTTTAAATTACATTCTCTTTACTGAACACATTAACGAGTGAATGAGTGAATGAGTGTAAACAACAGATCACACTGATGAAACTTAAAGTGTCTCCGGTCTCTGCTGGTTGACACCCGTCACTTTCTGTCCTCGTCGATCTCTCCGTCTTCCTGCGCTCGGCTTGGCCTCTCTGGCCTTCGGCGACACGCTCGCCACCGCCTTCCGTCCGTCGCAGCGTCACCTTTTGCAGAGGTCAGCAGAGATGAAGTGGGGTTACGTTCAAGGACGGGAGTCGTGCTGAGGAATGGTTTCTGACACAGCTGGCTCCGTCACGTTGTTTTTTTCCCAGAAGCCTCAGGGAACGTACTGCAGATAAACACGTCCAGTTCAAGTTCAAGGCTTCACAGCTGACAGCCGCTGAGTGAGTGTATTATGTGCTGTATCGCGTTATCATGTCGCATCTTCTCTTCTGCCGCTTAACACAGAATCAGATCAGAATTCATTTATTGATTCCTTTGTTTGTCCACATGAAACAGAAATCAGCAGTTTGCTTCCTCATATTTACGTATGTTCTGTAAACCTTAGACAGTGCTGAATGTGTGTTATATGGAACAGTTACAGCTGACGGTGCTGATGGAGGAATAAAGGACTGAGGTGGTTTTTAACGGGTTTGACATTCCCATGTTAGCTGCATGAGCTAACTAGCTAACAGCAGTGAACTTTAGGCTTTTGGTTTTTGTCTGTTTGCTCCCCCCCTCACCCCCCCTCACCCTCTCTCACCCTCTCCCACCTTATTCTAACGAAACTAATGAATCTTCACTCTGTGTGGCTAAAAGTTGAAGATTGATTGACGGGTGAATGTTTGATATTATTGGTTCATATCAGTTAGTTCATGCTGACGTAAGCACGTGTTAGTTTTACAGGAAGACACAATGATTGGATTTTAATATAAAAATACAAAGAGTTTTTGTGAATGTTTTTGTCATAAATTGTTAAATATGGGAACAATATAACTGAGGATCTTAAAGGGTTAAAATGATGGACTTAATAATAAAACTGCACATTATTCCTTTAGCAGTTGTGTTTTGAGGAGCAGGACGGACGAGGGTTTTGTAGACAGACAGGAACCCGCGTGCTGATGTATTACCTCATTATCACACATTTCATATCGCTGTAATTCAATCAGCTCTATTGTGACTTTTTTTTTAAAGATACTTTCTGTCAGAGTTGTTTTATTTCCTTCTGGTTGCCACTGGAGGCCGATGAGATCAAAGATTAATACGAACACTCTCCAATAAAAAATGAAATGCTGGTTTTAATCACGACTGACTGATGACTGATGAACGAGAACAAATTGGAATTCGGAGCGCAGACATTTCATTTCGGGACCGCTCGGCTGCCGCAAATGGATTGGCCGCCACGAGAAAGCGAGGCGCCGTTAACAGCACGACTGGAGCTCGCACTCGCACGCCGTGGCGAGGAGGGACTTGATTCACAAGCCGATCCATCTGCCTGCTTTTCCCTTCGGGGGGGTGGAGGCAGCCTGACTCACACCGCCATCATGTCTCCCTGTAAGTCGGCACGCCTCCCTTCCTCCCCTCCGTCTTCCTATCCGTATGCAGAGGCGGGAAATGGGAGCAGGCGAGGCGTATTAAGACTACAAAGTGCTGATTGTAATTCAGCGGCCCGGTCCCCTCCTGGGGCCCCCTGCTCTGGGTGAACGCTGGAAATAAACATGAGGGGGGTCTCACTCCGTTGTTCATTAGCCAGACCAACCCCAGGTCACCCGGGCCCGCTCCCTGGCCCCCAGAACGCTGCCTGTAATTGAGGGCTGACGTGGATAAATAAATGATGGGAGCGAGGGAGGGGGGTCGGACGAGAGGAGGAGTGGGTGACAGAATGGGTAATGGGTAATGAGGGTGCCCTCGCTGTCCTCCCTCACCTGTGTGAACCGCCGCGGTACCACCGCAGACTCTCTGAGCAGCCGCGACGTTTAGGAAGATATTCATGAGCCATTACTGCACATTACTGGGTCCTCTGAGTCACCACAGACTCTTCCCCCCCACCCTGCGTGAGTCCATCAGCCGGTACGGTGCCGGGAGACGGACGGCAGCCTCAAGTTTCACAGCATTAACGGTAGAAGACACACAAAGACCTGCAAATGACTGATAGTGTAACTGTAACATAAAGCTCATTAATCTTCCATTGGAGGGACAATCTCATGTTCCCATAATTCTACTCTCCTGTTTGCAGAGTTTTTATAGTTTTTTACTTTTTCAGTTCAGTTCAGGGTCTCTACTCTTTTTTAAGAAATCCTTTTCCAGGACGACGGCTCAGAACGATAGTCAGCGTTTGTGGGACACTCCGCGTTAGCTTGTTTTTACGTGGGCGGCCTCAGGGGAGCCGGTTTCCTCTTCCTGTAACATTCATTCAGACAGATTCTCACCTAGAAAGTCTGATATGAGATTTAGTGTCATTATCCAACCGAGGGTTGAGTTTCAAACAAAATATAGTCAGGGGCTCAAACATAATTAATGTTAAAAGCATATTTAATCAATTTCCAGGTTTTTCCATGACTGGAAAACTAGTCTCCAATTTTCCAGACTTCCCAGGAATGCCTGTGAATCCTGTGAGTTTAGTTTCCAGAGTGTGTTTGCTTGTTTTTATTGTTTAAAAATGTTTAACCTTGTATTAGTTTCAGTGTCAGTTTGACTCTGAGGACACTGTGAACATCCCGGTCTGG